TAATTTTGCTGTTATACCATATATATATATATATATAAAATTACCTCATGTGGGTATAGTTTATTTCAAACCGGCACAACCTTATGCCAGTCTTCTTCAGGCCTAGACTGATTGTCTCGGAATCAGGGATTTTGAATTTAGTTTAGATAGCAGTCGGGGATACCTCCATTTGATAAGAAACTTGGGTTGGTGACAAGGAGAGGGCGTGAGATATCTCTCTAAGGAGAGATGGGCCGGGCTGGAAGTTTATTTATGACTAAAGCTTTTAGTTGTATACAAATGAATTTCTACAATTTAACACTAGCTCTTTCCTTTGATTTAATAGTTTGCATTGATTATTGTATTTTATTATTCTGTTTTTCCCCTAAACATAGCCTGCACTTATCTCTAAAACTATTAGGAGTATGTGCGAAACCTATAATTTTCCGATCTATATGAGGGTTCAAACCCTTTTCCTTCAATTCCCAAAGTTTTTTGAAAACGGGTTGTTTGGTATTTTAATTTAGGATTGGTAAATGAGTGCCTATGGGTATAAATTCTCTGTTTCTATTCTCCCGCGGAAATTCCAATGTAAAAATTATAATTTATCATATTTTCTTTAGGGGTAATGGTTGCCTGGTATATTACCCTAGTAGATCTGCATTTGCCCTCGACTAGACAGTTTTCTCTGTTTCTACAATTACGTGGGAGGCATGCATAGAATTTACTTAAGATGTAATTGTTATGGAAGTTTTTAATTTGGTACATTTGAAGTTGAAGGTCTTACTTAGAGGGTTGCTTTTGTGGAAGTGTTTATTTATTAATTTTAGAAAGTGCTATCCGACATTAATATTTGATAGTTTGCCAAATGATTTTTCTTTTCTATTTCTACACGTACATCCCACTTTATGTGTTTCGGTACTACCTAGAGGTTAAGTAAGGTAACTTATTTTTGAAACCACTTTTGTGGACAGCCTTTTCATATGGTTCTTTATTTTTATTAAAGATTTCTTTCGTTGGACGATAATTTACTAATTCTGGTGCAAACGGTAGTAGGTATTTGTCTCAGAATAGCATTGAGGTGGTTAGAACTAACATTAATATAATTGGGGGTTTTGTTCTCTTTATCGTAAGGTTTAAAGGTTTTATCATTAAGGTTAAGGGTAATGTCTAGGTAATCAACTATTTTAAGATGGGAAGAAATCTCAATCTTAAACCCTAGTAATTTAAAGACCCTAAAGATTTTCCTTTGTAACTTCACTGTTAGCGGATCATTACCATTGGGGATGAAGATGAGTCCGTCATCTCTATATAGTCCCACTTTTTCTGGTTTTACGATTCTACAAAGCACAGCTAAAATATAAAAACATACTAAATCAGCAACCTGGACTGAATCATATGCTCCCATGGGAACATCAAAATCGTCATTATGACAGTAAGTCCAAGTGGAATTATTAAGTGTTAGCGGTGATTTTCTAACCATTAAGATGATATTAGTTTCATCATCCGTTATTTCCATATAGTTCTTTGCAAAGCTAATACTATTAACTAAAAGATACCGGGAGATAGAGGAATAGAAATTTATTATATCAAACTTAATAAATGTCGTTGTATCCTTATTACTCATATTGGCGAACAATTTGATAATGTCTGACGAATCCTTCCCAAAGATTAGCACAGGTTGTGATTAGCAGTTTATCGGTTGATTTTTTAAGTATATTTTTCGAGATTAGACTTTGTTCAGTTTTAGTAGAGTTTATTAATCTAGACCGTGTACTACTAGCGAAGTTAGGTTTATGGTCCTTAAATAAAATGTAAGCATCTTTAGTATCGATCTTTCCCACTCTATCTGCAAGATTTAACTTATTAGCTATCTCGATAGTCTCTGTATCGATCTCGGATATCCTACTGTTGTATCAATCTAGTTTGTGCGTGTCTGTTATTTGGTCTTTGAGGATTTTGTGGTATTGTGAAGGGTTACATTTATAAATATTTTTAGATTTATCGGATCTTACCCAAAAGTCTTTGGAGTTTCTAATAGTCTTTATGTACTAGTTTAGTTTTTTTTGGAATTGGTTGAACTGCTTGTTGAATTTCATTTTTTTAACTATGTCAAACATGTCTCTTTCAAAAGGATTCAGTTTACTGGAAGGTGGAGTGTGTTGGGTCTTTAGATTGAAGGTTTCGTATTTGTGGTTTCGTGTTTCAGAGGGGTTCAGGTAGAAAAACGCTTTCCATCGTAGTCTCTTCACAAAGTCAACATTTTTTTTCTGTGGGGGATAGGTTGAAACATATGTAGAGAGGGGTATGGAATGTTTTCAAAGAGTATTCCGGACATATATATATATATATATATATATATATATATATATATATATATATATATATATATATGTGTGTGTGTGTGTGTGTGTGTGTGTGTATTCAAAAACAGTTTGATATCTTAAGTGATTATCTGACCCAGTACAGACTGTTTATATCTACAAACGTTCTATCACCGATACTGAACAATCTTCTCCCCATAAATATACCAAAGTTGAATATATATATATGTGTGTGTGTGTGTGTGTGTGTGTGTGTGTGTATATATATATATATATATATATATATATATATATATATATATATATATATATGTAAAAATATATGGATATAGATCCGACAGTATGAAGAAAAATATATACGGAAAAAACAAACAAAAATCCTTATATACAATTATGCTGTTTTAATGTTAATATGTCAACGTCGGACGTTTCGGTCTAATATATATATATATATATATATATATATATATATATATATATATATATATATATAGAGAGAGAGAGAGAGAGAGATGGCCTGAATGTTGCGTTCAAGACGCTAAATACATAGCCACTAAAATAAAATTAGACAATAGAATAAAACAATTAGCAAAAGTAGAACCATTTATTAAATTAAAAGACCACAAGGACAACTTCACGACCAAGCCAACATGGAGATTACTAAACTTCACAAAAAGCAATATTTGGAAAATAAGTAAACAAATATTAGCACACTAAACATAAACCGATGGAAAAATATAAAAGTTACAATCATTTGGTTTAATAACATTAGTAATAAAGAAAGTCGCCCCTTCACACAATTGGACATAAAAGATTTCTACCCATGTATTAATGAACATACACTAAAAACGCATCAGATCTAGCAAAACAATACATTAATATCTCCAACGAGGACATGAACATATTTAAACATTGCCGAAATCAATATTATACCACAATATGGATACAAAAGGCCAAAACAATAATAATAATATTAATAATAACTTTGACGTAACAATGGGTTGCTGTGATGGTGCTCTTTTGTATGTACCATGTCCTTTCAGGGTGTAGGCGATCATGGCTCTCCCCTCCCTCCCTTGCAGCTCTCAACAAGTTCTTTCCTCTGCTTCCCCCCCGACCACGTTCTGTTATCTATTTTTTTAGTCCATCTGGTATGTCACGCGTTGTTTTCCTTTGTCTCTCTTTTCTTCTATTCGACTCGTGAGTATCAGATTCTCCAGGCCCTCCTTCCTCATTATGTGTCCCAGAAACTTCAGCTGCCTCTTCCTGATGTTAAGTGTAAGTCACCTTCTTGTTTGCATCCTCTGTAAGACCTCATCGTTGCTCATACGCTTGGTTCATGATATCGTTAGCATCCTTCTGTAGAGCCACATCTCCGTCGCCTCGAGTCTCTTCTATGTCCAACATTCGCTGCCGTAAAAAAAGGACCCATATTTATATTGAGTGTTCCATATTCTCTGCCCCTGCGCCACATCGATTTCATTAAATCCTGTATATATATATATATATATATATAGAGAGAGAGAGAGAGGGAGGGGGCATCTGTCTGCCTTAGTCTATTCATAACTATTTATCTATTTATTCCTATCTGTTTGACTAGTACAGTTCTCTCAATATCCCACTATTAAATAGACTCTTGATCAAACGCAGCCAAATTAATCTTCTGCGTCTCTCAAGTCCTTTATTTCCGACACTCAGGCTTATTTGGCAGTGTGTGACTCAAATAACTACAGCTGGATCACATTTTGTACAATTCTCCAGCCAGAAACAAAATAATAACAACAATTACAGAATGCGTCGATAATTTTCCATTTATTGTAAAAATACCTTTTCTTAAGTAATAGATAATAGATCAAATCACAATTATAAAAAGAAACTATTGAATCCCTACGAACCGTTTTGCATCTAACTCGTATTTTTATTATTTTACTACAAATCTTTGAACTATGTTTTACATCAGTGCGAGTGCCACATTCAAAAATTCAGTTTTACTTGCCCTTATAGTATATTAGCCGAAAATAATTAATATCTAAAATAGACAAAATAGACTCTTAAAGAAAAAAAATGCAATAAATTTTTATTAATTAATATTTTAAAGTACTGTAGAAGTGATACAATGGAATCACTGAAATGTGATTGGCTGGTGTCCGTCATAAATACCGACGGACGTGTAGGAGAGTCAGGAGAGCCTTATAGTCTGAGAGCTAAGTCTATAACGACGCCCATTGGACTACGCCATTGATCTACACTTCTTACCTGCGACTATGACGCGGACCAGTCGATTACTGCTACCGTAGTCTACTTGGTTATAGTAACCAAAACAACTTAACTACTTCGTTCAAATATATCCATTTCCGGGACAAAAGAAGATTCACATGAGACGCATTTATTTGAAAGACAAAGTAACTGACTTTAAAGTACTGTTATGGCTATTCACAAATATTAAAAAGGAAAGGAAGCTGGGAAGAGCCATGATCGCCTACATCCTGAATGGATATGTTTAAAAAATACTTGTTTGTTTTGTTCTATTTATCTCTTTATTGTTATTCATGGCTATAGACTGGTGATGAAGTGAATTTTCTCTATATTTCCTTGTTTGTTATTCAACTTGCGACATCTACATTTTTTTTTAAATAAAAAGCTCTTTGTAATATGACAATATTTGAAAAGTAATAATTTTCTTTCTCATTCGAACAGATCGACGAAGAGAAATGGGCCAAAAACAGTCTTCTCCGCTACAGGCGACTGTAGCAAGCAACCCCCAGCCTCCCCCAGTAGCTAGAAAGCCCCGCGCTCCAGTGCCCCCCTATCGCATCCACAGTTTTGTGATTCCAGAGAACAAAGTTCTACCGACTGAAATCGCTCCTCGTCGATTGCGACCAGTTTCTGCTGAATTGGCAACAAGAAATGCCGATTTCGCTTCAATTTGGGGCAATCCCGTCACAGCTCTTGATGAGCACCTTCGGGGCAGCCTCCAGAAAGAGACTCTCGATAGACATGCAGCCAATCTTGCTTCAATCATTGCAGGGACAGAGGAAAATTGCTTGACAGATAAAAAAGAAGATTCCATAGAAACGACCGAAGCAAATCCAGAAACTCAAACAGACCAAATGACAAAATTAGAAACACAAGGAAAAACAGAGATTCTAATTTCGAAATTAGCGGAAACTAAATCTGCAGTGCTAAATTCCGAACTTGACTCTGAAAAATCCGGCGATACATCCGTCAGACGTCGGATTCAAGATGAAAATACCGAAAAACTGAAAATGTCGATTAAAGAGAACCTGGAACGGGCAAGTAGCGCGCCTACAATGATTAAAACAAAGGAAAGTCTCCCAAGCGGCGGCCTTCCACAAGAGTACACAAATCACCGGCGATACGCTTCAACTTCAACGTTTTGTTCCCAGACAGTCGCCCCTGATGATACCGATGAAATCGCATCTTTCTCTTCAGACACCTTCAGTAGAACCTCAAACGCATCTCTGCCACAGAAATGCAGTTTCAATATTGACCGCACCCAGTCGCTCACTTACGCTCAGCTTGCAGAAACACGTCGTCAAAATAGCCCTCTTGGGACACTTGATCTTAATTCACGCGATAATGCCAGCGCTAACAAAGTAAGCCAACCTCCCTACCAAAACGGGGAGGTATATTTTTCAGTGCAAAGTGTGGATCGCCGACGGAGTCGCAAAAAGAAGCGCGCCCCTGACCCTCCAAGTCTTGCAAGGCCATTTTCATTAAGCACCCAGGATGTAAGAGAAGAACCGATCGCTTTGAATGACTCTTCAGAACTTGAGCCTACTGTGAAAGCGTCACTACCTTTAACTGAGCAGAAAAAAGATAAAACAGAAGTCCCACATGCCGAATCAGTGGTTTCGAAAATAATAGAAGAATCAAAAGAGGCTGATTCGATTCCTCCTGCTCCTAAATGGTGCACCGCATTGTCATCCGGCCCATTATCCAAGCCTAGTGCTCAGAGTGGTTCCAATTCGAGCCACGCTTACAGAAACCTCATTACGCCGATATTATTTAAAAGCGATTCTACCAGAAACGTAACTTCCCGTGTCTCTGCTCCAGCCACAGCAAACAACACAAAAACTACAACCACATCTTCAACTTTTACTACAACTGCGTTTGAATCACAAAGTTTGGCACAAACGAAATCAAAAGAACCAATAAAAACAGAGAACAAACCAAGTGTTGAAGTCGGGGAACAGTTTGTTAAAAATTCGTTAACAATGTTAACAGAAAATGCAACTGTGCAGGAACCAACATTTTTATCTAAAAAAGACCCATCTACAACATTAGCACAAGCGAAACCAGTCACTAACTTACCATCTGACGCAACCATCGGTTTCAGCGCTATTGCTTCCGATCAACCAAATGACTTTGACTCCTCCTCCAAACTCCAAAGTTTCCACCCAAACATTTCCCCACCTTTGGCTTCCAGTGAATCATATGAGCCAAGCCTCAGTCACAATGATTCTTTGTCACAACTGGAAAAGTCAAGTGAAATTTCTCTCACTTCGACGCCAGAAAAACTACTGATTTGGAAACCTCCCACACAAGATGAAATTTCGATGTTGTTGGCTTCTAGTGAAAAAATTCAAAATAGCAAGAAACAACAGCATACTTTATTTGGAGAAACCCAAAATATGCTACAGTCAAGTCCACAAAAAAGCACAATACACGATAAACATTTAAAAACCTCATTTGAGCAAAAACAGCCTATTTGCGAAACGCTCCTAATCTCGAATTTATCGGAAGCATCAAAAAGTAAACCAGAAATCAAAAATCAAACAGAAACATCCATCTATGTAAAACCGTCCGTTGTGGAAACAAAAACCTCCCATTCTGAGCACTTTGGAGAAAAGCAAAGCAAACTAGACGTGCCTGGAATAATGGAAGAGAGTTCCACTTTGAATTCATTCAATAATTCTGGAACAACCAATAACATATTAGCCCCAGTTCCCCTATCTACAAATAACTATTTATCGACCAATATTTCCGGTCTGGTAACGTCACCGCCTATGAACACAATAGCGGTGAAAGGTTTACCAGATGAAACTCTTTACGGAGGAAGTGTGCCTCCTCTATCGATTCCGTCATCAAATGCCCCATCTGTCACACCTACATCTAGTTCTTTCCTTCTTAATTTCCAAACTAGCCCAAACGTCCCCATATCGCATCTTCTTGTCTCAGGCGCGAGTGACTTATGCACTACGTCTCAGCCTTTCAATGCCACGCATCAAATAGCGACAAACCAAATCGGACAACAGGTTGCGTATTCAATTCTACCCCATTACAGTACATTGCCGGCTACTCTGCAACCAAATCTACACACGTCTCTGGCCTCATGTCATTCAGCAGCCCATCTCAACCCACAAACCACTGGCATGGGGAAAATGTCCACTTTGCTCGTCAACACCCAAGGCAAAGTAATTGCGCCATTACCCCCCGGTGCACAGTTGCTACCTGGATTCGTCCCCGCTTCACCAGTGGTGACAGCACAAGTCCCACCTCCAAAACAACCAACCCAAGCACAAGAATACCAGAACGTCGAGCCAGTGTCACACCACTTACCTACTTTAACCCAACAAATACAGGAGGTTGCTAAAAAGAAAGCCCTAATGAAATCACAAAGTCAAGACTATAAATCGTCCATAATGGTCTGTCCTTCAGATAACAAATCAACACAATTAAGAACATCGAGCACGCCACTCCCTTCAACTCCTCCTCCGCCACCGCCGCCGCCACCACCACCACCGCCGCCGCCGCTGCCTCCTGTAACATCTCTACCGCTGACGCCCACAGACAGAAATTCACCGCTTGCTAAGGTGATGATGGCCCACAAACCAGACTCCAATTCACCGCTAGCGAGTTTGACGAATTCGCGCCGATCCAGCAATTCAACCGGTGACAGTGACTCCATGAAAGGATTACAGCTTATCCAGAGAGACGACATCTTAGCTGCTCGCAGTTCTCTCAGGTCGCGGAAGGACCGGAATCCCAAAGCGGTCAACAAACCCCAAAGCAACAACCCACATGAAAAATTCCAGAAAGAACTGAACGAAGCGTTTTTGATGAGACAACAAAAGAATGGTGAGAGTATGAGAACCATATTGCCCAATGGTAAGAATATAACTGTCGAACTGGATGACAAAGAGGCTAACAAGGGGAACATGCAAGAGACGAATGATAAGAGGAAAATAACGGACGACCATAACAGTGTCAAGACATTTAGCTATCGTGGTTGGAGTCAGAGTTCCAATTCCTCAAGCAAAGGCTCTGTCAAATCGAATTCTTCTCAGAACTCAAATTCTCACAAGTTAGAGAAAACAAGTGTGATTATAACGCAGCCAAAAACTTCAACGCAAGACAGCAAGAAAACTGTTTGGCGCACGAATATTGACGTTCACAAAAGTAGTTCCATAAAAGAAAAAGAACAGCAAAATTGGACTCCTGAACAGGATCTGGGAGATTTTGATGAGAAAGAGACCGTCGCTGAAAAAGAGTCTGACGAGCGACGGACGCTCACGTCAAATGGCTTTAAGGCAAATCTGGTTCCTGGAAATATTAAACATTTCTGCTCAGGTTTTCAGACAGGAAATCCTTCAATTAAAAACAACCAAATACACGAGAGCAACGAGGATTCAACCGAAAAAAATGAGAAGCCGTTGATTGTGTGGCAGTCAGAGGACTCTCTGATAGATGGTTCTGCAAATATGTCTTCGAATTGGTCCTTCAAGACTTCAGATACTTCGGATATGGACTCTGGCACACAAACGAAATCAAAGAAAAAAACTGAGAAAAAAAGCCGGAAGAAAGATGATGGTGGCAAGAAATCTAATCGTTTTTCTTTTCCTCCGATGAAAGGTAAGGAAAGCTCGGAAGCATCACATGTCAGTAAAAAAACAGCTGGTATTGTGTACGGCGGTCATGGAGAGATTGTATTTTTACCAGGTTTTCAAGATCATATAGCTGCTGAAAATAATTACGTGATAGATGAAAACGCTGGCCATGCGCCAAAATGGCGGAACAAGAAGAAGAAATACGCGTTCCAATCGACAGTGAAACTAAACGAGAGAGAAAGATTGGAACTTCAGTTGGCCAGTCGAATTCAAGCCCGTGAAAGACAGATGGAAGAGGAGAGATTGGCACAGCAGAGAACAGAAATGGAGTTTCAAAAAATGAGGATGTACATGAATTATCCAGATGAGCGGAGTAACTCGTCAGCGAGCGTCTCTCGGACCAACTCGTCGCAGGCATCATCATCACGCGATGTTTCCAGGTCAACATCGTTAGAAGGCGAAAGTAAACAAGCCGTACACCAAATGGATGGAAAAGAAACAGATTTTGTTGCCGGGTCAGACGAAGGGGTTGTTCTCCAACAAGTGACACCGATTGGCGGAGCATACAAAACGAATACAGCCCAAACGTCGACGCAAGCAAAGAAACGTAACTCAAAACTCGGGAATGAGCAGTCAAAGAAAAATGCAAATCAAGACAGCAAACTCAGCTCGGGTTTAGAGAAAATGGCCGCCCGTCTTCCACCAAAAATGCAAACAGGACAAAACACAAAGTATACCGAGCCACTCCAGACAAATTTTCCCAACGCTGGACTTTTGGCAAATCGAGCACATGGTGCTTCGCTTCCAAACCTTGCTTTCTTCAACGACTACCTGAAACTGTTGAGTGCCACTCAAACAATAGTTCCTCCTCTCTATCAAGAGAACTTGAATCCGGCTCTCTTCGGCACCAACCCCAACTTATTCCAACAAGTCAGTCCATTCTATCCATTCTTCATTAATCCAATGACCAGCAACCCGAACAACGTTCTTGGTGGCCTCGTTTACAACCAAACGACACCCAATGGAGTGCAAAACCCCATGTATACGAGCGACGACAGTGACGAAGACGACGATGATGACACAGAATCGATTTATCGATCAATCAGAAATAATTCCAATTACACCAGCAGTTGGAGTTCTGACCAGACAAAAGATTTAGACAACTCGTACAGTACCCAATCTTCGTCAGTAGCGTACACCAGTACAGAATATTCCCGTGACAGAGACGATAAAAGTTCAGAGTGAGTATTAACATCTTCTTAGGTTTGATTTTAAAAGCGTAGAAATGTAGACAGTGTCTTAAATAAATGCTTGATTCATTCACTAAATTTAAAAGCGTTGATCATAATATCTATTTAGATAAGTGATCAGATCTTATCCGACAACTGCTTTGACTGCAAATACAGTCACTGATCTGGTTGGGTACCTCGCAGCATCGAAATGATTAATCCGCTCTAGATAACACACAGTTATGACACTGGTATAAACTAAGCTAAGCTTAAATATCTATTGCATAGATGGCGCTATAATGCGTTGCGGTGGGTGGCTTCAGCCCACCACACACTTCTGCTGGGGCCAAGAATTTTAAACCGAAGGCAAAATTTGTCCTATTGGCCTCAATCTATGACAATTCTATTGAACGGTGTCATTTATCTAAAATCATTACTGCTATTAAGTTTCAAAATAAGTCGGAATACCACATTTTTTGTATTTTAGCTTTTATATAAGCCTTATATGCAGAAAAGGTTGAATGGTGTCGTTCCAGAAAATACGTACAATTGAACAGTATTTACAATTGAAACAAAATAATGTTTATAGCAGGATAATAGAAGTAAGAAAAATACCCATATTATGAAAGGACCAAATAAAATAATGTATATATAAAATCAAAAACTTTCATATTTAACACGTGATTTAACCCCTGCCCAACATTCAGCATTTAATTTAGTTCTTCACATTAACGTTTGATTTCATTCCCTCTCGAATTTAACATATGATTTTATTCCCTCTCTTTTAGAATATGATTTAGTTCTTCTTCACATTTATCATGTGATTTAGTTCCCCCTCACATTTAGCATCTGATTTAGTTCCCCCTCACATTTATCATGTGATTTAGTTCCCCCTCACATTTAGCATCTGATTTAGTTCCCCTTCACATTTAGCATGTGACTTAGTTCCCTCTTACATTTACAATGTGATTAAGCTCACTCTCACATTTAGTATATAATTTAGCCCTTGCCCAACACTTTATATTTTGTGGTGCCGTGATTTCATTATCTAGTTCAATACTTTTTTTTTTTTTTTTTTTTTAACAACCCCCAAGCAAGGCGGAGAGCACTAACAGAAAATAGGAAGATCAGATAGGAGTGATAGAAAAGGGTTAGATGATTAAGGCAACTGAGATGTCGATTGACATTACACTTGAATAGCTGGAGATTATAACTCTCAGGGAAACAGGAGAAGGGAAGAGAGTTTGAAGCTAAGTGGTAGAGACATTTATTAGTTTCGACAGTGAAGGGTGAGAGCGGGGATGCCAGCCTCGTAGTTTGGGGGCGCTTGAACTCATGAAGTTCGCAGTTCCTCAGAAATTTCCATGAAAGAACAGACAGAGGGAGGCGACGGTGCGTCTGTGAGAAAGTGACTTTAGGACAACCATTTACATAACCTCTGGGCCTATCAAGAACCCGAGGCAAACAGAAGGGGCGCCAGACCATATATGGCAGCAAAAATGCAAGGGCGAAATTTGTATATCTTTATGGTGGAAGGCCAATTGACTCGATGTATTTATTCCATCTCAGGTCAGCAGTCAACGTGAGACCGAGAAGCCGCAGAGAGTTGCTCTCAGGAATGAGCGTCAGACATTATAATGGAGGGGAAGGAAGGCTCTAACAGTTTAGTCTTCGAAGCGTTGAATTTACAATCGATTGGAGGTCCTTTGCAAAACGAGAAAATAACGGCGTCAGGAAGGTCATTTATATAGATAAGGAATAGAGTGGGGCCTAGGATGGAGCCTTGAGGAACTCCTGCGTTCGTGGGTAGGAACTGGAGGAGAATCCGTTGTGAACGACCTTCAATTCACGGTTTGACAGGAATGATTTACGTTATATAATTGACCCGTAATGCCATAACCCTGGATCTTGCGGAGAAGGCCGCGTGCCAAACCCTATCAAATGCTTTGGAGATATCTAGTGCCACGGCTCGGGCTTCCCCGTTATTTGGAGAGTTCGGTAGACTGTTTCCGTGATGGCTGTGAGCACATCGGCTGTAGATCTGGCAAAGCGAAAACCATATTGCTTGTCTGAGAGCAGATTATTGGATGAGGTGGTTACCCCGGTATTGAAGGAGCTTCGAAATTTTGCCGAAGAAAGATGATAGGACGGTAGTTGGAAGGGTCAGAGGGGTCGCCGGAGTTCTTGAAGACAGGAACAATCGAAAGGACTTTCAGTTGTATTTAATTTCTTTAAGACAATGGCTGGATTTCCACCACTCGCCTTGTTGAGATCTAAATTGGAGATAACGCCCAACAGGTTGGGGTTATGTTTTCAATATGGCCTCATTTAAGTCGGGTTTACACCAGAAGAGTCGAGCGTCGAGTTGGATGAAAATTTGATCAAGACTTCGAACTGGTTGAATAGAGGATTAGAGGGTTTGCACTTATTCAATACACTCTTTTTCAAATTTAACGTTATGCAAATTTTACTTAGCATCATTTAGGACACGCTTACAATCGTTACGGGCGGCGGCAAAGAGACGTCTATTGCAGTCAGACATGTCGCTACGGTATATTTAGTTGGGCGATGGCGGCTCAGCCGAAAACCAGGGGCAGGAGCGCGTCTTTTATTTCCTTGATGGGATGAAATTCCAGCTTTAACCCAGGAAGAGACCTCAGAAGCACATTCTTGGACGGGGGCTTAAAGACTCCATCCCAGGGGACATCGGAGGAAATCACGGAACGCGTCCCAGTCAGCTCGTTTTAGAACGAAGTTCTAGTGGTAGGAGGTTCTTTATAGGGGGAGGAGTTAAAGGAGATGTTAACCGATACTACTGCATGGTCAGAGTTACCAAGTGGGCATAGTTGCGAGGCCTGCAGGATTCTAAAGCACAGGTTTAGCATCTTACCCGGTTTAGTGGGGAAGTTAACTATCTGTGTGAGGGAATGGGAGATTGAAAAATTAAGCGTTTGAATCATGGTCAGTAGTAGCATTCTTAAGCCACAATGTGATTAAAGTCTCCAAACACAAAATGTGAGCAAACGGGTGGAGGGAGAGAGCCTTGTCTATGTTGTCTGAATGCTCTCAGTATCTCACAGTCTTGAGAGGATTTAGTATATACATGTATGACTGGTCAGGCGATTAGGACTCTCTGGCCAGGAGGAGATGTTCCTTGACACCAACATGTGGGTTAGAGAGTCTTTTTGTGAAGATGCCGGGGATCGAGAGATCAGAAGAGGGGATAGATGAGACAAGGTTTGTCTCGCAGAGAGCCAGTATATCCGGGCCGTTTGCAGTGAGGAAAGATTCCAGACTGTAGAAGTTTTTCTAATGCCCCGGATGTTGGAGAATGAAATGTTATTTAGTTTCTGAGATGCTGGTTTAGGGTAAATCTTTCGGTTTTTGTAACTCATGTTGGATTTATTTGCAAAGATGAGAAGGCCTGATTGCAAAATCCGCATCATTATGTGGCCTCAGGGCTGCCCACCGAGGTGACTGCAGGGACACCTTTCCACGCGCGACATGGCACTACAAAAAAACTGTTGATCAGAGCAGCCGCTCAAGATTACCAAAAGAGAACTGTCAGCCGTGTACCCTCAAATGAAAGATGTTACAAAACTCACGGGAGAAAAAGTAAAAAAAAAATGTTAAATAAACAATTAATTTCATTTAGAAGTTTGACGGTAGAAGGGAAAAACTAACACAAAAAGGACGCGATAAAATAATATATTATTTATTTTAACATTAAGTTTTAACAAGATTTATTATCACATCCAGTAGAAGACATTATTTTCCTCGCCGGAATGTTTATGAAATAAGTAGGGAATTTAGGGGGAGGAAAAAAAAATAAAAACGGAAAAAAAAAAAAAAAAAAAAAAAAAAAAAAAACAAATATTCTATTTGGGATGTCATGATGATGATGACACAAAGACCTGGTGGGGGGAGGGGTCACTTTGTTATATTTCAAAGAGGAATAGAATAAAAACAGGGAAAAATATGCAAAATACAGTACGTTTATATAGATAAGACATTCAATGCCTTTCGTTTTTTCGCTAGTCAAAGTACACACACATCAACACACAGGAGGGGGAGAGGAAAAAAAAAAAAATTTAAAAAAGAAAAAAAAAAAAAATAAATAAATAAAAAAAAAAAAAAAAAAAAAAAAAAAAAAAATGAAAATAAACAGTCAGCTAGAGCGAAACGACTCACATGGGCCAACAGCGTCGTCATGATGATGATGACTGAAAATTGTCGACCTGGTGTGGGGGAGAATCAACGGCCAATCCTCGGCTTTCAATAAGATTTCAAAAGAGGAGATAGAATGGCGAAAAAAATTTCCAAGACAATATATGTCCATTTGTTGGGATTGAAGACACCCTCGCATCTAGTTCTGAACCGGGTTGTAAATTATCAAATAAGTAGCATCACTGGGAAATGATTAAAGGATGAGGGAAAAATCTTTTTTAAAAACGGAGAAAACGAAAAAAAAAATAAAAAATAAAAAAAAAAAAGAAAATGTAAAAGTTCTAGAGCGAAAACGATTTGGGCCAACAAGTGGGTAACTGCCTGCGTCGTCATGATGATAAGATACAAAACTTTAAAAGTAAAAAAAAAAAATGTTAAATAAAATTAATTTCTTTGAAGTTTGACAGAAAAACTGCGATAAAATAATATATTATTTATTTTAACTACAAGTAGAATTACTTATCCTCGCCGGAATGTTTATGAAAAGAGAATTTAAAGAAAATGAAATATGTACTTTTGCAATGAACAAATATTCTATTTGATGCCCGACGACACTTAGGGAAAATATGCATACTGTACGTTTATATAGATAAGTCAGGCGCGTACACACACACACACACACACAGATATATATACACCGGGCGAAACAGCAAAATTGTCCAAATGTTCAAAATTGTCCATTTGTTAATTAATCATCTTAGAAATGATTAAAGGATTCGGAAGTTTTTATCATGCTGGAGGTTTGAGCAATAAGAATAAAAGCTTAGCAGAAGAATCATGATGAAACCGATAATAAACGAAAATATGTTATCATTAATTAATCATATATAGTTATGCAGGTTTATATATAGTTCAAATATATATATATATATATATATAATGTCAGGATCATTTTCCAACCTATTCAAAATGATCTTCGCTCTCTCTAATCTTCTAACCTTCTGTCCTGGAGTAACAAGGTGCCTCACATGTTTCACGTACGATTTCATTTTCACATCTTTTTTTCACTGCCCTTTGGCTATCATAGCTGAAGCTCCTCTCTGATGTGCCAAACGTCTTATGGATTGAGTTGGATCTTTTCTAGTTGATCACTTTAGCTCCAAGTTGAAATGATGATCCTTCTTGCTGTTGTGACCTCCTGATCCAGTTTTTTTTAAACTTATTCACCGTTCTCTTGATGGTTCTTGAATGGACTTTGAAGATGGAAGCCAGAGTATGAATGACGGTACCATTACTGAAGGTCTTAATGTTCTTTTTCCTCTCACCATTATTCATTTGGGAAGACAATGGGACTGACACAAAACGATTTTAACCTGTTATCTTTCAAGCTGAGTAACTCAAAGGGTTCTTTTTTAGTGATTCTTAAGACAGATAGTGTCAATATGACTAAAGGTCTTATCTGAACACCCAGAAAAAAGAAACTCAGTTTAGTTTTTTTTTTAAATATTAAACATTTTGTCGGATGGAAAATTATGGTGTTACACGATTTGGACAATTTTGCTGTTACACTCGGTATATATATATATATATATATATATATATATATATATATATATATACCCAAGTATATAATTGGTGTATACGGAATGAATTCCAATAACCAACAATTACTATTCTTAAAAGAGTGCTCAATACATAGTAGAGCAGATATAATTATATATATATATATAACTTCATTCGTTATTATAGTGGACACACACACACATATATATATATATATATATATATATATATATATATATAAAACAAAAAGTGGTCCCTGTGTGCTTTTTTTATAATATATAGATTTAATAGGCCGGTTAATAAAATTTAAATAATAAGAAGCTAACAAATTATACTGTCAATATTGTCAATAAAATTGATATTTATTATATGTTAACCTTTTCACTGAATTGACGCACGATGAGATAGATTTTAATGTCGGAATTTTCGAACACGCCTGTGTTCTCTTTCAACGATACTAAGAATAAACAAAGATGTTACAACAACATACCTTGGAAGAGTAAGTCCAACTTCTTTGTTTATTCCTCGTATTGTTGAAAAAGAACACAGGCATATTCGAAAATTGCGACATTAAAATCTATCTCACAGACGCAAGTGAACATCACTTGTATAAAAGCAGAATTTGTTCTAATCACTGAACACAACTGGGTGCCATTCGATTCAACAAGTGACTCTCTTGCCGCATTACTGGATATGTTCAAGATAGTAACGCGATCTAAGAAGTAGACGTCAGGTTAGAGACACAAATGTTTGTCGTTCTATTACAAACAAACATTTGCTAAACATTGTTAAAAATTGTTTTGACACTTCTGAGTCTACATTTGCTCTGATCAGTGTTGAGAACGCTGTCCAGTCTATCACTGCCGATTTAGGCGAGCGTTTTTACAATGCAGGTCTCTAAAACCTGATCTACTGGTATATAAGTATATTCATTTGACCAGTGTTTCTAACACTGAAACGCCACTAACGTGTCACGATCAACATGCTCATCAGTGCTCTGAAATGACCATGCAACTTCTCAAAAATTGCTATCTATGCCGTACGAAATGCTTCAAATTAAACAAAAAAAACTGTGCGTTTCCGTGGCATGACACCTGCTTGTACTGGAATCTTTTGCCACTCTGAAGCTTATCACAGTATGTGTTACTGTCTAAAGCTCAAACACAGATACTTGATTCATATTGAATAGCGTATGTCGATAACTTTCCGAAAGAGACAAAAATAAATGAGAACACGTCCGTCTCAGTTGACAATTGATCAATTCAGATTAAAGACATGACAAGGGACACAACTCCGTAATAATCTGATGTGCTTCAGTATCAGTCATGTTCAATTACTGTTTATAACACGTCTCCTTTCGTTAATTTAAATTTGTTTTCGGTCTTTTACTTAATTTTTATTCGTTTATGAACAAATTTAGTTTATCCCCTGCTGACAACATGTTTCATACTGAATTGAGTGTGGTCGCCAACTCTCCATTAGAAACGACAAATGAGAACGCATCCGTCTCAGTCAACAGTTTTATTAATTCTGTCTTTTAACAAAGCAAGGGCAGATAACAAACTTGAGAAGGGACACAACTCCATAACAGCTGTCTTGTACTTCAGTCTGAGCAATGTTATTAGTTTATATGACAGTAACACAAAGACTTTCAAAATTTTATGAAAATATCTACTATTCCCTAATCAGAATTCTTCTTCAGAATTTTGCAATTTTATTTTCCTTCAATTTAGATTTGAACAGATAGCAATTATATTGACAATTCTTTTAAAACTTGTCCTTTTTTTTTGTTTTCGTTTTTGTTTTTTTCGCTTAGTTCTGGCAATCCTTTGGCTTCTGAGACTGAAATCAGTACGCAGAGTAGCAGTATCAGCAGCATCGACAGGTGAACAACCAGCAGAGTCACTTACCTTCACGTATAAATATTCGTATACATATCCACCCACACTATATGCACACGTATGCACAAGCGATGAAAAAACTTGAAAAATTTTGCTTGAAGGAAAGCAATATTCGATGAAAAAAAAGGGCATATACTTTTATTAATATTTCGATGTTTATTCACAACATTCCTATTTAAATAAACCTGGGATTATTAACAAAATCAAATCCATTTTCTTTATTGTTAATGAAATGTTGATGACCAACAAGCATGTTTTTCAGAGTTACTTTATCTTTGGCCACGTCAAATGATTTGAGAGGCAATATTTGCACACACATATCAAGTTCCGTCTTTTTTAAAAATGTATTTTTTAAGTATTTATGGATGAATGTTATTTTCAAAGTTAATCCACAAAAGTTGGACGTTTTCTCTCTGTATTGCCAGTTCTTCTTCAGGTGGTTTTAAATTTTTCCATCAAATTCCATTTCCGACGAAAATTACATTTTGAATAACATTTCAGTTATATATATATATATATATATATATATATATATATATATATATATATATATATGTGTGTGTGTGTGTGTGTGTGTGTGTGTGTGTGTGTGTATGCGATAGTTAGTGTAAAGTGATCAATATCCGTGATAGAGATAACATGCGGTTGCATGGATGGTTTATTTTTCATAATAAATAAGCCAGTTTGTCTGAATATCGCGAAAGCGTGAAACCTAAGGTCACAAACAACTCTGCATGCAACCGCACACACACACACATATATATATATATATATAAGAATAATTTTATTTTCCTTCTATAAAGAAATAAAAAAGAATAGATGACAACTTAAATTCTCAACATGATGAAAAAGTGACAAAAACAAAGCCAAATTACGTCAGAGAATATAGGATACTGCATAGACAAATTGAGAACAAATGCGGGCAAGCTAAAGTGGAATGACTCAACGAAAAATGTGCAGAAATAGAAAGAGTGGGTATCACAGATAAAATGGATATGCATAAAACATGATCATCAACAACATCCATAACATCCAAAGACCGGACACTGATATTAGAGAAAGAAAAATACTTCAGAGATGGGGCGAATACATCAGTGAACTCTTACACGACGAAAGAGAGCAACAATTCATAGAAATATCGAAGAACCAGAAATATTAAAATCTGAAGTGGAATAAACACTGGCCGAATTGAACAAAAACAAAACAGCCAGACCAGACGGAATCGCAATAGAGATACTAGCAGCCTTAGATGATTTTGGTATTGATAGAATTACAGACATAATAAATTAAATATACAACAGTGGTGATATACCAGGAGACCTAAGTAGATCCATTTTCATAGCCCTGCCTAAGAATCCAGGTTCAAACGAATGTGAACATCAGACAATCAGCCTAATGAGCCATATAACAAAACTTATCATCCGAATTTTGATGAATATGACGCAGCAGACCGGAAATAGGACTAGAACGGTACGGGTGAGTTAAAAACACCGGAACAAGGAATGCGATATTTTTGCTCAGATTGATATTAGAAAGAGTAATACAAATGCAGAAGGAGATGTACCTATGTTTTATATATTATGAAAAAGCATTTGATAAAATACGTCACAAAGAACTGTTGGAACTGCTTGGTAACCTTGATATATTTAGGAAGGATATCAGAATAATCCAGAAACTATACTGGCAGCAAACCGCCTTAGTCCGGATAGAAAATGATTTCAGTAAATATACAAAAAATAGAAAGGGCTGTAAGACAAAAATATGTCTTCTCACCGGACGTATTCAACCTATACAGCAAGGCTATTCAGAGAGAATTAGAATACCTATGTGGATTCATTAATGGCAGCTACAATCATAAGATATGTAGATGACACAGTGTTGATAGCAGACACGGAAAGGGAACTACAAGAACTCCTACAGAAGGTAGTGAAGAAAAGTGGGAAGAAAGAACTAAACATTGATTGTAAGAAGAAAGAATGCATGGTTGTTAACAAAAGGAACAACCCAACATGTAAATTACAAATTGGGGATAGAGAAATCAAACAAGTACATTTTAAATATCTGTGAAGTGTTTTAGCAACGGACGAAAAGTGCGACACTGAAATTCGATAGCGAAAAATGCCTTCCAAAAGTTATGCAAAGTATAAAGAAACGGAAAATTTTCGTTAGAAACAAAGAAAAGAGTACTGGTCCATGGACCGACGAAGTTCTAAATGCAAGGAAAACAAAAAGGACACTTGTACTTAATCTAAGGAATAGACAGTTAAAAATTTCTAGGATATATAATGAGGAAAGAGGGCTTGGAAAATTTGATGCTAACAGGACAGATTGAAGGCAAAAGGGACAGAGGAAAACAACGCATAAACTACCGTGCGAGCTTGAGTGAAGGAATAGTGAAGCAGGGTTTGGGAGAAATAGCAAAAAAAAAAAAAATATTACGAGCTACAATGGACAGGAAATTATGAAGAGCCATGATCGCTAACGTCCTGAAAGGACATGACACATAGAAGAAGAGAACGGTTTAGTGCAAAGATTTACGCTCCACGAGCGACAAAGCTCTGATCTAGTCATATGCCCAGAAATTTACAGGAAATAATTCACAAATGTAATTTTTGATTGATTCATTCATTTTCTACGGTTTATGAACCCTTTGCAGGTTATTTAAAGCCAGAATATATATTTTTAGATTGTAAGAACTTTTTAGATAATAATGGTTTAGAGATACAAGTGTTACTAATTAACCCATAGCTGGGGGAGAAGATATGAATCTATACCTTTCCCCAGAGTATTTTGCGCGTAAGTGAATATAACAAACCCAACGGGAATTGGAGCTTGGCTCAACTATTAACAATACCAAGCCATTATCCATTACATCACCCGCATATCTTCAAGCTTAAAGCACCTGATATTCCCAAGCGGTCACCCATCTAAGTACTGATCAGGTTCTACGTTGGTTAACTTCGGTGATCGTACGGGAACCAGTGATTTGGCGTGATGTGGCCGTAATTTTTTAGTTTTTTTTTTCTTTTTTTTTTTCTAATTGCCATGATCACTTATTGAGTTATGTAGAAAAATACATTCACATTCGTAGTGTCTTTTTGCACTTTTCCCACCGTTGTCAGTTAACAGGTTAGCAAGCTTGTCTCGCTAAAACAGTTATGATTGAATAGTGAGTTCGATCCTCACTGGGTACCCCATATTTCCGGCCTTGTGCAACATCTAAGCAATGCTTACAAAATCAGTACTATGTTAGATTTTCACATGTTGATTTTCAAGGATCATGGGAGTTTTGCACACCACTCTCTTCCTCCGCCTCTTCCCACACACTTCTTGGACATGCGAGTCTTGGCTAAATTTACGAATATGCAAAAATGACTTCTTAAGTTGCTATAAGTTGGCTATTATTTTTCTCTCATTACGCACCTGTTTTAGTTGCTTCCATGGATACAGTTGGAAAATGCCGGTCTCTCTTCTACGTCTGCTAAAAACGTTTACTTAAATATTGAAATTCGTTTACATTTAAATGAAAAGATTGTCATCAATTCTATTTTATTAGTTGCTTAACAAATTGAAAACTCAGTCTCACTTTATTCATTAAATTGTAGTGGACTGTGGGTTTACGTGTTGTTAAATTAGGAACACGTACGTTCACTCCTGATAGAATATTAAATGGTCCACTAGAAGAATATGGCGGACTCAAGTTGAGTCCAACTGAAGATGTGTAAAGAAAATCAACAATATATATATATATATATATATATATATATATATATATATATATATATATACAAACAAGTATATGCATTAAACAACAAAATTTACAATGGACATAGACATTAACATTTGTGCTTGTGTGTGAACGTAAAAAGTTTGTATTTTGGTGAATGTTCATACGTACATGTATGTGTGTATAATGTTCATTGCGTCTCCCACAAATGGGAAGATGCAATCTTCTGCGAGAGGTTACATTGTAGACGTGTTCGCTGACAATGCAGAAATGGAAAAGAGAACGAGGCAAGAAATTGCCCAGTATTTATAGTGTAGGGAGAGCGTGCCCTATTGAACAATTAGGAAATTAAGGAGGAGTTAACTCCGACAAACTCACTCATATGTAAGATATTTCAAATCAATTAAATATAAGCTTTATCGAATTCGAAATAAATACAAAAAATTATATAACTACATTTATGCATTAACCCAAATATGCGTTCTGAATCAAAAGTTAAAAAAATAAGGTAATTGAATATAAGACATGCTGCGCTCGTAATAGTCTTGTCCAACACTGCAGGACATTACAAAACTAAAATATTAACCTAAAAAGTCTAAGCCATGTTCTTAAATAGCCTTATCATATCTAAACTCTCATATAGATGTCATGTATGGGGTTCAACTCGTTTAGCTTATCTCAATGTTTCAATGCAATGGTTGACTTTGGTGTTTCTTGGCTAATGGCTCTTACTCTAGGTTCCATGCTTCTTAGAAGTAATCGTATATATCACCTTGTTTTGTAATTTACGGGCGGTTTCTTTGTTTAGTAAGAAGCTCTGTAACTGAATTGAAATCACATTCAGCCATATAGGAAGTTGGAAAAGGGCACCTCGACGTGGTGTAATGGTTAGCTATCTTGTCTCGCTAGAACAGTTATGACTGTGTAGTGAGTTCGATCTTCACTGGGTGCCCCTTACTTTTGGCCTTGTGCCACATCTAAGCTACGCTTGGAAAATCACTATAGGAAATTGGAAAAGCAATGAAGAAAAGTTTGATAGCTTTCCACAGCAATTTCAGAAATATTGAATAATTTTTGAAAATCCGAAAAAAAATGATACATGCCCACCGCCACCTGAGTATGTTCATTACCCCTACCCACCAAATAAAATAAAAAATAACTCCCAGTTCCTCCTTTCAACATAACAGAGCCCACAAGTGGGGGGGGGCACTATCGCCCACTTTGAGAAACACTGGTCTAAACTATGAGCTATATGCAACCGTTTTCTCAGATCAGTGATTAAAAATGGCTTGAGTATATGAATCCTCTAGATTGGTGCTACAGAATCACAAAGAACTTTATCAAATAAAAAACCCACATCATTTGAAGACTTCTAAATAATAATGTAATCAATATGTTGACTTTACGCAATACCTTAAACAAAAGGTTAGGAAGGAAACTCCAAATAGTACTAGAAAGAGCAATAACTGTTACTAGACCTGGGAAGTCTATTTCACTAAAAACTGTTGTAAGAGAAATATTTTTTATGAATCGCAACTGATTGGAATGCTAACTGTTCGACTAATGACTGCCGAATGTTTCCTTATAAGGAAACGGTTAATCTTACCATTACTTTAAATGGGGATGGAACTTTATGCTTTTCTTATTGTTTTTTTGGGGGGGAGGGGGGGTTGTCTTATTTTTTTTTTTTTTTTTTTTTTTGTTTTTTTGTTGTTTTTTTTAAGTGATACACGGCTGATCTTAAAAGAGAATGGTTTTATTTTCTAGCTTACCTAATTTTAATGACCCAACTAAAGGTGAAAGGATTGCCGAGATCAGTAACTAAAACTCAAAATAACTATGTTTATGCCAATATAAAAAAAATTAAATAAAACAAAATTCTCCGGGAATGGAATGCATAAACTGCAATCACCATATTTTTTCTTTTTTCTTTTTTTTAACGTTGCACCCACCTAAATGCTCACATGTATGTGACGTCACGGAAACAGGCGAACCATACTGCCGCAGCCGTTCACAGGGATTTAAAAAAGGACGAACGCACCAGCCACTTTCAATAATGAGACAAATTAAGCTGTTGAGATAATAAATTATATCATTAAACAAAAAAATCAATTACATGTTTTTGCGGTTAAAAAAACGCTGAAACAAGCAACTTACCTTTTTAAACAATGAACCTCAACTCGTATCTATTTATACGCATTTTCATGCCAGGCGCTATTTTGCCAGAACGTTATCTATAACAAGGACAAAAATAAATTATGCATTATTGGCGAAAAGAATTAACCCCATCCATCTCTGGAAAAGGAAAATTCTTTCAGAAAACTCTATCATAGATAGATAGATAGATAGATAGATAGATAGATGACAGAAAACAACATTCGTATTGTATGAATAATTTAATGGGTGATTTTTTAGTTATTAATGAAAATTCAGGCAAGTGTACGATGGTTGGTTTTTATTCAGTAAGTGGCAACCATATCATCCCAAAATTCAAAAATCTTAAATTTATGTTGAAAAATAATAACATTAATCAATTCAAAGGAAAAGAAAAATTACCTTATTTTTATTTATTTTTCAGAATGTCCGTCAAGTAACTTGTAACATTCACGATACATTTTTCTGTACAGCCCTCTTGGTTAAGTTGTAACTGACCGTAGAAATAAGTTAAAAATTTCAATATCATCGGAGCTGTTTCAACTAGAAGACACACTGCAAATCAGTGTGATTTCTCATTTTCAGCTAGGCTGATCGTTTTCGAGCACACCCTTTTGCTCAGGGCCATTTACGTTTCTTCAGCACCTACGGAGCCAATGTGTGGTTTGTAACTATGCTGACTGGAACACAGTTTTATTTAAGCATGTGCTTTACCAGAATGATATACGGTTTTGAATTCAAATGATCATTTCCTAAAGTGCTCAATCCACCCTGCCCATTGCTGGGTATAGCAGAAAAGATAGATTCATACTTTTCCCAAGGGTATTTATAAAAAAAAAATGTGAATGCTGACTTCACTTTCCGAGCCGTTAATCATTACATTACCTGCATACCAAATTAGTAACAACTCACAAATCCCTATAATTTTGTGTCAGAAAGTGACGTCATTATACAACTGTTAAAAAATGAGACGCTTCAATACTTATTGATATCATGTATTGTTTTGACTGTTGCTTTTTTTCCTCCCTCTTCCTTTGTTTTTATTTTTTAAGCAGTAAATCCCGTCTTTGTAAAACTCGCATTATACTGTTGCAGATACTAATGAATGAGCAAGCATCGACTCCAGACGAAGATACAAGGTGATCAATGGACTTGAGAGAGTTTAAATGGAAACAAAACGGAGTTGGCTAATAGTGTTATGCCGAACTAAGTGAGAAATCCTTGGATAGATGAAAGAAAAATTACAAACTCAAATGGGGAATCAAGATAAGTAAAATGAAATATTGAAAGAATGGTTTAAACGGAAAATGTTAATGAGATGAACAGTTTAGGAAAGAGAAAATAAATTTCTCCAAAAAAAAAAATTGAAATAATATCTTCATCTTTGTTGCCCTTCATAATTTTTCAGTCGATACATTCTTTGGATTTCCTCTGGTATATTTTGGGGCCATTAAACCCTACCAATATAAGGCCAGAAAACAAGTTAGAAAACGAAAGCTGTCGAGAGATTTGGGGGTGACCAAATAGATGGGAACATCTGAGATTATTTCAAAGATTGGAAATTGTATGAATAAAAACAAAGGCACAAGGACAGAAAGAAATCATAGGAATGATGAGAAATATTTCAAGAATTCAAGAAGTCGATTTGAAACAACCAGAGATGGAGATCAAAAATAGATACAAATGGGAAAGTAGTGTATAAAAATCTCGACAAGAATTTCATTAAGATGGATGCGACAACATTGGCAGAATGTCCATGCGAAAAAATGGATTAAGAAGAGAATTCAATTGGAGACAGCAAATAAAGTAATATGTTTGATTTGATTTGGTTTGGCTTGGTTGAGTTTAGCGGTACTTCAACCCCTATGTGTTATTTTAATGCCGAAGTCTAAATATTTTGTACGCATTTTATTTTACATAATAATGGTTTAGTGATACGCGTCTTACTAATTAACCCATGGCTGGGGAGAGAAGAGGTGGATTCACACGTTTCCCAGGGGGTATTTGCGGGTAAGTGAATATAACTAACCCAACGGGAATTGGAACTCAGCTCTCCTATTAACAATTCCAAGACATTATCCTTTACACCACCCGCACATTCAAGCTTACAGTACCTGGTATTCC